CCCAATCCCCAATTCCCCAGTCCCCATTCCCTTCCTGCGGCTGCTGGGAGCACCCAGACCCCCTTTCCCCCCTCTTTCCGCAGGTATTACCTCTTTGCCCTGCTGGTGAACCTCAGCAGGGACGCCTACGAGATCCGCCTGCTGCTGGAGCGCGCCGCGGCCGCCAGGAAACGCGGCAGGAGCCCGGAAAAGCAGCCCCAGCTCCGTGCTGAGGGCAGGACCCAGCGCCTCCGGCTGCAGCTGCAGCTCCAGCTGCAGCTCCTGCTGCAGGTGCTGCGGGACAACCCCCCGCTGCTGCTGGACCTGCTGAGGAACGCCTGCGACCTGGTGATCCCTCTGGAAAAGCTGGGGCTGTGCCGGAGCAGCCCCGGGATCGTGGGCTTCTGTGGGCTCACCTCCTCCGTGCTCTCCATCGTCACCATCCTCCACCCCTGGCTCAAGCTCAAGCCGTAGTTTTCTTGGGATTTTTGGGGATTTTGGGGGGTTTGTGGCATCTCTGGAAGTGACTGGTTGGTGCCATTCCATCATTCCTGACTCCTTGGAGCCTCAAAATTCCGGCGTTGGATCCCACAGGGATGTCAGCTTCCCAAATGTGGTTTTTCCCATTGACTCTTCCAGAAATTTTAGGGAAAAAATTGGGATTGAACGTTCCCCCTCTTTGTCTGGGGAGAGCCTTTCACCTGGAGCCAGCTGACAGGGAATATTTGGGGCTGGAAAATGTGGATTGGGGCTGGAAAATGTGGGGTTCTGGGGCTCAGCTCCTCCGTGCTCTCCCTCATCACCATCCTCCACCCCTGGCTCAAGCTCAAGCCGTAGTTTTCTTGGGATATTTGGGGATTTTGGGGGGGTTGTGACATCTCTGGAATGGCTGGTGCCATTCCCATCATTCCTGACTTCTTGGAGCCACAAAGTTCCAGAGTTGGATGCCACAGGGACATCAGCCCCCAAATGTGGTTTTTCCCATTGGCTTTTCCAGAAATTTTAGGGTTTCTTCTGTCTGGGGAGAGCCTTTCACCTGGAGGCAGCTGACAGGGAATATTTGGGGCTGGAAAATGTGGATTGGGGCTGGAAAATGTGGATTGGGGCTGGAAATTGTGGGGTTCTGGGGCTCAGCTCCTCCGTGCTCTCCATCATCACCATCCTCCACCCCTGGCTCCAGCTCAAGCCGTAGTTTTCTTGGGATTTTTGGGGATTTTGGGGGGTTTGTGGCACCTCTGGAAGTGACTGGTGCCATTCCTGTCATTCCTGACTCCTTGGAGCCTCAAAGTTCCAGTGTTGGATGCCACAGGGACATCAGCCCC